GTAATAAGTGGCAGAGTCCTGGTCCCAAGCCAGGTTAGTTTGGTTCTTTCCACTTTGCAAGCTGTCCCCCACTCCCTCCTCAATAGAGCCACCCAGAGCACAGAGGCACTGGGATGACAGCAATACCTTCACATTCACAACCTCCACCCTTGGCCCGGTTGGCCACTGCTGCTGTGTAGGAGCGAGCATCCAAGATCAGCAGCTTCTGGGGAGCCATGGTGCTCTCCACGCCAGAGCATGCAGTCAGGGAAGAATCTATTTTAAATAGACAACAGAGAGAAGACCCTAGGTCAGGCACACAGCCCTGTGGTACCCCATCTCAGGACTAGGGACCCCCTTACACCCCCCAGCCTCCCAAAGGGCAGGCATTCAGGCCATTTTCTTTTCTTTTCACTGGGGACTTTTGGGAATCAAGGAAGCCAAAGTCTGCTCCCAGGGGCCTGTACCACCCACACCTTACCAAAGTCAGTGTCACACGCCTCGCTCGCATCACTATTCCCAGTGCTGGAGGAGCTCCCAGTGGCCCTCGCCCCTGGGTCCAGGGCACAAGCTTTGGCAATGGATGTAACCAGGTACTCATCATCAGCATTGCGCCAGCCCCACCAACTGATCTCAGGCTGGCTGCAGCGGGCAATGGCAGCCCCATTGCGCAGATGTCTGAAAAACAGGAGAAACCGTCAAGACTTTGACATTCACAGCCCCCAAAGGCCTACTGCAGAGACCTTAGGGGGCAGATCAAGGCCTCCAGAGCCAACGGGCTACCAGGTCATCCAGGCCATGACAACAACAACCAAAAGCCCTTAGCATCTCTAGAGGGCTTTATGGATTAGAAAGTGGTATCATGTACATTTTCTTAAATGGGCTCTGTACTCCCAAGGTAACCCTGACTGATCAAATCTGCACAGCACCTGTTCCAGCTACAGACCCCCAGCAGGAGAACAGGGACTGAGCCAAGAGCATGAACAAGTCCAAACCTCATAGTTACTACCTGTCTCATTCTATTTCAGCCATAATGTTCTACTGCAAGAATCAGCAAACTTTTTCAATAAAGAACCAGACAGTAAAAATTTTAGTAAATTTTTGTAGGCTACATCCAGTAACAGTTATATATTCTTTGCTTTTTTTTCTGTAAAGAAAGCATGGTAATGGCATTGTCTGACCTCCTCTAATTTCATGAGGGGGAGGGAAAATCAAGATGAACATCAACAGCTCAAGGCTGGTTCCCATGAAGTGCAAAGTCAGACATGCCACCACCCTCTAAACATTTTGCCAATTCTGTCACCAACTATCTCTCCCATGGCACTCACTACTTCTCTGCTGGGTTCGATAATTCATTGCTATGGCCACACAGAACTCACAGACAATACTCACAAGTATGGGGTTTCTTAGGGAAGTAATAGGTTATAATTCAGAATCAGAAACAACTCAGGGTAGAGTTCTTCAATCAGGACAGCTTCTTCTCAGCTGTGTCATAGGCCCACTTCTCTCTGGCCTCAGCCTCTGCCCTCCTTGGACAAGTGTTAAAAGCTCTTTTAGTTCTGCCAGTAGGTACCTGGAGAGGCAGCCAACCCCACCTGCAAGCCGCCTGCCCTGTCTCATGTCAGTCTCTTGGTTTAGCTGCCTCTGCTGTTGCCGTCCCTCTGCCATCTCTGTGCAGGGATCTTGGGTCCAAGGACATGCTCCACTCCTGGCTCTTCTTTCTTGATGGTAGTGAGATTCTCTTTTTTGCCTCTGGGATGGCTCATTTTAAACCTAGTGGGATGGCAAAACTGACCAATCCCCACCTTAGTGTTCCATACACTTTATTTCCATGGTCCCACCCCCACAAGGGTTCCATATACCTTATTTACATTATTAACAAGCTGTCCAATCCCCTTGGTGGGCCACAACCACCTTACATTTACATAGGTCCACCTAGTCATCTGGTGGGAGTCACAAAGGCTATGGTTAGAAGAGCCAGGAGTGAAATGCATTCTTGGATTTAAGATCCCTGTGCAGAGATGGCAGAGATGGTAACACAGAGGCAACAGAACCAACAGACTGGCATGAGACAGAACAGCAGGCTTCCCAGCCCATGGAGCAAGAAAGTTGAGTATGTTCAGGCAGGAAGCTTGCTGGTGGAATGAGGTGCCTCTCTGGACACCTATTCGCAAGGCTAAAGGAGCTTTTAACACTTGCTCAAGCAGGGCAGAGGCTGAAGCCAGAGAGAAGCAGGTCTATGATATGGCTGAGAAGAAGCTGTTCTGATTGAAGAACTCTATCCTAAGTTGTTTCTGATCCTGAATTGTAACCTATTACTTCCCTAAGAAACCCCACACTTGTGAGTTTTGTCTGTGAGTTCTGTGTGGCCATTGCAATGAATTATCGAACCCAGCTTAGTGAGTGCCATGGGAGAGATAGTTGGTGACAGAATTGGCAAAAGGGTTACAGGGTGGTGGCATGTCTGACCTTCGCCTTATAGAAACCTGCATTGGGCTACTGATAGTCATCTTGATTTTCTCTCCCCCTTGTGAAGTTAGAGGAGGATGAATGAGGCTGCTCCCATGCCCTTTTTATAGCTGGTGTCAGAAGTGGGATGAAGGTTGGATGGTGGCGGTACGTCTGACTTCCACCTCATAGGAATCAGCCTTGAGCTGTTGATGTTGTTCTGGAGCCTCCTACCTCCTCATGAAGTCAGAGGGGGTCACATGAGGCCACTGCCATGCCCTTTTTACATTCTCATAAATCTTTAAAAATGTGAAAACCATTCATAATTCAAGAAGAAAAATAAAGACTCAAAAGAAACTAGTCTATAGGACTAACAGTCTACACAAATCATGAATTCATCTACCCTGAGACCAGAACTTGATCATGACCAGTTACCACTACCAACTGTTCTGATCAGGGCCACAACAGATGGATCCTTATAGAATGGCAGAAAAACATGGAACAGAATTCAAATTCTTAAAAAGTCCAAACTAATGTTTATATATTGGAGGACATTTTCTTTGTTGGTTACCAGGGGTGGGAGGGAAGGGGAGGGAATGCTGTTAGATAGATAGAGATAAATATTGATTTGGGTGAAGAGAAGGGCAATGTACCAAATGTGAGTGACCAATATGGCAGCATTGAGGATGAGAAAGACAGAGAGAGTTACATGGGCATTACAAACAACAAATATGAACCCCTTTGTAAATACAATACTGAGTTGTTAATGAAAGCAAATATGGGTATAGGGACGGATAGATGGGTGAACAAGCTAAACAATTATGTATGTCTAAATGGAGAGTGTATCCAAGATCATATACAGGGTTGGCAGAAAATGGGCCTCTCGAAGAGTATGAAGGGATGGACACTGGGAGAAGGTAACTATGGGGAGGAAGTGGGAGGGGAGCTGCTGCATTGTAAATTTTGGTCAATGACATGAGACAAAGTATATGTGAACTGCTGTATGAAAAGTGAATTTACTCTGTAAATCTTCACCCAAATCCTAATAAAAAAAAAAAAAAAGTTAAAAAAAAAAAAGTCCAAACTTACTAGACCAGTTGAGACTAGAGGATTCCTTGAGACTACTGTCCTAAGATATTCCATAAACCTTGAACCAAAACTTCCCTGATACCAGCTTTGAGCTAAATAATAGATTGGTTCAAAAAATAAAGAATATTACCAGTGAGCACTATGCACCTTTAAAAAATCATCTACATGAGACCAAATAGTCAACAATTACTCTAAAGCAAGGATGAAAGGGTAAAACCAAACCTACTGCTATCGAGTCGATTGGACTCAGTGACCCTCATTAGGTCTCTGAAGCAATAAATATTTACAGACGTAGATTGCCCCATTTTCCTTCTGTGGAGTGGCTGGTGGGTTTGAACTGCCGACCTTCTGATTAGCAGTCAAATGCCTTAGCTACTGCACCACCAGAGCTCCTTATGAAAGGGTAAGAGGACAGGAAAATCATCCAGAAGGGAATTAATGAAAACATTAAAACTTTGTGAAAAATGTAATCAATGTCTCTGAACAACATGTGTAGTAACTGTTAAATGGAATCTAACTTGCTACGTAAACTTTCACCAAAAACATAATAAAATATTATTTAAAAAAAATATTCATATCTCATAGGCTACACACAAATAAGCTGCAGAGTGGATTTAGCTCCTGGGCCATAGTATACCAACCTCTGTTCTACTGCAATGTTTTACACACACACACACACACACACAAACCTCAAAAAAAAGAAATGAAAATGAATCAACTCCCTAAAAGCCTCCTCCTCAACAGGAAAAAAAAAAAAAAAAAAAAAAGCAGTTTCTGTTTTAAAATTATTTCATGGTCACTCCCCACACACTGTCAACCAGGCTACTGCAAACCTCCTCTTTGACTCTCTCCTTACTGCATAAGAAATAATCTCCCTACTTCCCATCCCACTGCCTCACCTATACACAACCACAGGGATCCGCTTCCAGGAACGGAAGGAAGCCACGTTCTCCAGTTCTTTATCTGTGATCCACACAGGAACCAGCAGCTTTTGGGGATAACTGGGGCACAACCTGAGAAGAGATCAGATAGGATCACTGAGCTAGGTCTAAGACATCTGATGACAATATGGCTTTTAGAGGACAGGGAGCCCACCTTTCTCACAGACCCAGCTGGGCCCACCATCCTTTACCCATATGTGGAGGAGGTTTGGGTTTGGTTTGGTTTTTGTTCCCCCACCCACTGCCTTCTCACTTGTAGTTGCTGTTGATGTGTGAGACTCTCCAGACATTCTGCAGGTCAAAGCCCATCCTCACAAGCTCTGCCTCCTGCCGACATCGTATGTGCTCTCCTGCAACACAGCCCCCATCCACTCCTGTCAGCTTCAAGAGCCAAGTCCAGTGACGGAGGAAGAATGACAACCAAGGAATAAGAATTCTCCCAAATTCTTATCTGGGAGAGCATCTAGAGGTCAAAGTCCCATATCTCCTTTTTTCACAGAAGAGGTTATGTGGCTTACTCAAAATCTATGTTAATGCATGGTAGAACCAAGATGATCCCAGGCCTTTCGTCTCCAAATTCTACTTTAAATCTTCTATTCTTTTCAATGATCTTATTACTGGCCATTGATTTTAAGTATTGTAAAGGCCATAAACCTGAAACTTACTCTTCTGGTTCTGTTATCTTAAAAAAAAAAAAAAAAGAAAAGGAATTCTCCCAAAGAAAATGGCCTAGCCTCACCTGGCTGACAAAGGTGGGTATGCTGGTCCTCTTCGGTCAGCCCCAGGCACCAGGCGTGGTAGGCAAAGGCAAAGAGGTCTTCAGGTTTGGCAGGTCTTGCTGTGGCTCGGCTTAGCCGTGAGAGCCACTCTTGGCACTGCTTGAAAGTGGAGAAGTGGCACCTGCCAGGCGAGAAGCCACAGGCCTGGGTGAGGCAAGGGGTAAGTGTGCTATGGGGCCATAAGGGTCAGAAACACAGCACAGGAAGGCTGTGGGGAAAGGAGTTTACAAAGCAGGGAGGCAAGGCATGGGCCCCTAGAGGAGGACCAGGGAGAGTAGCCAACACCCCAGAAAAGTTGTCCCATGTGACAACTCTCTTCCCAGGAAGAGATGTACTTATCCCCTTTTTCTTCCACGAAGAGACATGCTTTCCCCTTTAATGGAGCACTACCATTTATCATATCAAATCTAAATGCTACTACATGGCTCTGAGTGTCTACATTCCTTGTACCTACCCCTTCTTGTTCCTACCACACCAGACAAGCCTTATCTTCCATGACTCCCTAGCACAAACTTCTGCTTCAGGCAGGAGGAAGTCCCCACTCACATCACCTTATCTTTTCCCTATCTCCTTATTTTTTCTCTCTCTGCCTAGCTACCTCCTACCAACACTTTGAAGGTAGTTCTAGTCCCACCTCTTCCTTAAAGCTTCCATTCCACAGACTCCTTCCTCACTTGACCCTTATTATACTTGGAGTATTCAATAATAAGTTTTTCCATGCCCACAAGTTAAGTCTTCTTTCAGCAATTAAACTTTAACCTCCTGAGGGACAGAGCAATGTGGATTCTCTTTTAGAAATCCCTCATAGGCCTACTATGCTAAGCACACCCACCAAACCCAGTACATCAAGTCGATTCCAACTCACAGCAACCCTAAAGAACAGAACAGAACTGCCCCCACAGGGTTTCCAAGGCTGTAAATCTTTACAGAACCAGAATCCCTCATCTTTCTCCCATGGATCAGCTGGTGGGTTCAAACTACTGATCTTCTGGTTTGCAGCTGAGTGCTTTAACCACTGGGCCACAAGGCCTCCTTGCTGAGCACACTGTAGGCTCTAGAATGGGCATCCTTTTAATAACCCTTGGAGTCATCCCAGGCACCTCTTTCTTTTATATTCAATCTGTCAGCAAATCCTGTCAGCACTACTTTCAAAACACACATCCAGGATTTGACCACTTCTCACCATTTCAACTGCTACCATCCTGGACAGGCTATCATGATCTCACACCTCAGTAACTGCAATAGCTTCTTAACTAGTCTTCCAACTTCTGCCTTTGCTTTTGCTCCTGTCCCCTTCAGTCTATTCTCAATAAAAAAAGCCAGAGTGAGTCTACAAAAACATTAATCAGTTCAAAACATTCCAATAGTGTCCCATTTCCATCAAAGAACAAACCAGTCATTATGATAGCCTGCAGGAACCTACATAGTCTGACACTACCTTACCTCTCAGATCCTGTATCCCACTACCTTCACCCACATACACTCTACTCCAGCCACACTAGTCTTCTTTCCACTCTTCCAATATGCCAAGCACAGGCACTCATCCACCTCAGAGCCTTTGCACTTGCTGTTCCCTGTCTGGCACATTCTTCCTCAGATACCCACATGGTCACTTTATTCAGGTCTTGATTCAAATATCACCTTTGCAGGGAGGTCTTCTATGATCACTGTTTAAAGTTATAACCTTCATCTTCACAGCACTCCTTATCCCCATTCCCTGCTTTATTGATCCTTTTGCATATACCATAATTTAACATATTTTACTTACTTGTTGTTTACTGTTGGCATCTTCCCACTAGAATATAAGCTCCATAAGGGATTTTTTTTTTTTTTTTTTTGGTCTATTTGTTCCCTGCTGTATCCCTGGTACTTAGAACAGTATCTGGCATAGAATGGGGTGTTCACTAAATATATGTTAAGTGAATAAAAAAATGAACCAACATAATATAACTGTTCTGTCAGATCTCATTCTAGGTGCTTTCACACACATTACCTCATTTAATCCTTATGATGACCGCATGAGCTAGGCATTATCCCCATTTTTTCAGGTTTACATACTGGGTCATTAACATGCACTCCCATCCCAGAACAGAGTTTTCCCTCCAAATAGGGAAAGTGAGGCAGATTTTTTTGTTTTTATTTTTGTTTTTCTTTTCTTGTTGCAGACAAACTCTGGCAGCACAGAGGTCTGGACAAGACTGGGGCCAGAGGACCTGAGTGAAACTGTTGTTCTCACCTCACCACTTTGGAGTCCTTACAGGCAATGTGCAACTGGAACATATCACGACTCTCCACACTGTCAATCATCCGGAGGGGGACCTTTAGAGGAAAGGCAAACTGAAGCTCAGGTCTCCACTATTCCCCTCACTCATCTTCACCCCTGCCCAGTGCTGATGTTCAACCGCAGGAAGGAAACATGACATTTATTGAGGGCCTGTTAAGTGCCTGATAACTGTGTTGGTCCTCTATTTATGTAACCCCAATAATAATCACAATAAGCCTGCAAGGCAAGTGTTCTCACTCCCATATTATTAAGGAGAAAATTGAGTGTCAGGTGACTTAACCAAGGTCACACATCTGATAAGTGGCAGTGCATGAAAAAAGCCTGAGTTTGCCTGCAGTCTTCCAACACTGCAATTGAACCCTAGGAAGGGCCAGTGACAGAGTAAGGGAAAGAGGGAAGAAGGGAAGGGAGAATAAGTGAGAGAGACAGCATTCTAGCTAGGAGAATCAGACAGGAAAACAGGAGGTCTGTGAACAAACAAGGGAAGCCTGCCTTTTTTGAGATATGATCAGATAGAGCACTGGAACACTCCCACCTTGAACTTCACAGGGATTCTGGCTTGAGCATGGAGAAATAAGAACTCACGTTGATGACAGAGTCCTTGAACTTGATATGCAGCCGGTAGTTGGAGATGGCAATGAGAGCATCAGCTGCCCGGCCTAGGAACTCCACTCCCTCACCCTGTAGCACTGTGAAGGGCACCTGCCAAGGGACAGAGGAATGCTCAGACCAGAAGTGAGTCACCTCCTCCCCAGCCCCAACTCTGTAGGATCTGCTCTGAAGAAGCTGGGCCAAGACAAGAGAGGATAGTCCTCTCCATGGTAACGGCACCAGGCAACAGCTGCCTTTCCTTCCCTGGGGCCAAAGGTTTCATACTGCACATACAGACAGAATCCCCTCCCTCCAGAGACTAGGGAGCAGGAAGCCAGAGCTCCTGGTACTAGATCCCCTCTGAGATTTTTTTTTTTCTAGGAGGAGATGGTGTTTTGTAACTGGGCAGAAAGCCCTATTTGCCTTGGGTCCCCAACTCCTTCTTACCTGCAGATTTTCTTCCTCCTTCACTAGTTCTTTGGGAGGGAAAAGATCCTTGGCTTGGATGTACTCCAGGCTGGGGGGCCCCTCCTCACCCTGTGAGAAAGGCCACAGCCCTAAGTCGCCAGGCTCCACTTGGTTCATCAGGTCTGGTTCTGCTCCCCGCCCCAATCAATATACACACACACACACTATACACACACAGCAAACATACTTTTAACAGTTTTGATCACCAGTGGAGGGAAAAGAGAACCAGCTTGCTTGGGAGGGGGTGATGAGTGGGAAGGGAGGCAAAATGGAGGGGGTACTCAAGCTTATTAAGCCTAAAGGAAGAGTGAGGTCTAAGGAGGAACTGGGAATCTGCATTCCTCAAAGAGGGAATCACCTGTAGAATCAAAATTCCCAAAATAGAGGAAACACTATGTAGGAACAAGAGAAAATAATGTAGGGGGAATGGGAAAATGCTGTCCTGAGGAAAAAGAGCCAGGCGTTGGCAGATGGTTATGGAGACAGGAGGGAAATCATGCACCTAAGACCATGCAAGCTTCCTTCAATCTGGTGGGTGAAGGAGACAAAGAAAAGTGTGTGTGTTGCGGGGGGTTCAGTCCCGTGCCTCTAGAGGGCCTTGATGGATGCTTTCAAAGGTGTTTCGGAAGGAAAATGTGTTTTGGAGCTGGGCTTATCTTCCTGTTAGGCCCACACCGCTAACAAGCCCCCATCACCTGCTGAGCAACCTGCCCCACCTGCTGATCTGAAGGGAATTCCTGAAGAATACCCACAGCCAGCAGAAGTCACTCCCCTCCCAACCAACCAGGGAGGGGAAGAGGGGATCCACCATCTGGGAGGAACCAGGAGACCCAAGGACAGCCAGGGGAGAGAGAGAAGGCCTGGCAGACTCTTGGGGGGCGGGGAGCTTCAGGGAGGACAGATGGGGGAAGCTGGGAAGGAGTATTAGCCAGATGGGGAGGAGGGGAGGACTGAGAATGATGCAGAGGTTCGGAGTCCTGCAAAGGCAGGGAAGATGGAGAAAAGAGAAGCTGTCGGGGGACAGTCAAGGAGAAAAGACTGACGAGTCAGGTGAGGGATGGAATGTTAGAAGGGGGAGGGGACTGGAGCCCGGGGAGACAACTCCCAGACAACCAATGCTCCCCGACCAGACCCCTAATATCCCAGGCAGCCTACTAGCCACATCCCGTACACCCAAGCAAGGATGTAGCGGATGGGACTAAGACCGAGAGGTGGAGGTAAAGGGATGTACCCCTGCAGGGCGGGGCCTGGAGATCTGCAGTCAAGGGCAGTGGCCGCGGGCCGAGGTGGGCCACAGAATCTCCATCCTCAGGTTTCAACAATTCCCAGCACCCAAAGATTAAAGCAAGTGAAAGAAAGAAAAGGGTTAACCCCCCCTTCCCGGCTCCCAAACGTTGGGGGCCGAGCCAGGAGTCTTGGGAAGGGGGATGGGCTAGAATTTGCGGGTGAAGCAAGCGACAGGGATCTCAGGCCCCCGCAGGCGGGGCCGGCACTTACGAAACAGCTGAGCATGGAGCAGGAGACACGGGCGGTCAGGCTCATGGTCGCGGGCGGTCGGGGACAGAGCACATGTCCCCCGAGCCGCTGCGCTGCCCGCCAGTCCGGGGCGCCCGCCGCATCCCTGCTGCGGGGCCCGCCAGGTGCAGCCGCGGCGGCCAGGAGGCGAGCGCGCTGGCGGCGGGGCCCCGCGCGGCTCCCGCGCACCTCTCCCCTCCTTTCCACAATGGAGCGAGCCCAGCTCCGCCCTCCCGCTCCAGCACAGAAGGGAGAGGAGGGAGGCCTTGGGAGCGCCCGGGATGGCAAAGGAAAGGCGGAGGCAGAGGCGGGGTGGCTCTGTGCGAACCCCGCCCATAGCCCCAGGCTCCTCCTTCCCCAGAGCCCCTTGGCCAGGAGGGAAGCGCCAAGCCCCCACACACATCCCCCACCTCTCACCCCCGCCCCGGGACATCCAGGGGCTTTCTGGAATTGGGGCTTGCTGGAACACCCGCAGACGGTATGGGAGGGGGCTGGTGAGCAGCCCACGCCTTTCATTTCCCATTTTCCCAGGTGAGCCACCCCCTCCTGCCTTCCCCTTCTTTGAGTTCCCCTAAAGGTTGCTCTTACACCTACACCCCTGATGCTTTCCAGTCTCAAAGCTTCCTCCTTTCCCTCCAAAACTACCACCCACCATACCCCTGTCCATCAGGGTCCTGCAATCCCCTAACCTCTCTAAACCCTACCCCATCCTTCACACTCCCTCCATTTTGCCCCTTAGAATGGACACATGATCTGGTACCAGGCTGTCACTCTACACTCCTATAAAGGGAAGGCCTCTGAAATTTTTATTCCAAGGCCCCTGCCCAACCCTACTCCCTCATGTCCCATCCTTTTTTTTCCCATCCTCTGATCTCTGGGTAAGTCTTGCTGAGAAGAAAAAGAATTTCTTAGACTGAGAAAGAGAACAGCTGGTATAATGGACCACAGAAGCTATACAAAAACAAAGTTTGAAACCTAGGGATAGAAGTAGGGGGAGTGGAGTAGAAAGCCAGGACATAGGAGCAGTAATTAAGGGAGTCAGAATTATCCCAAGGATCACAGAAGGAGTTGGCTGGGACCCCAAATTCATTCCTGTGCCTGGTGACTTCTAGAAACCAGGGATTTTGTTTTATTTTTGCTTTTTGGAGGACAGAAGGAATGAGAGAAATCTGACATTTTATTAAGTATCTACTATGAGCTATGTCCTTTTCAAACATTACCTCACTAAAATCTTTCGGCTCTCTAAGAAGTAACAAACAGCAAGCTATTTTACTAGTGAGATGTTTCAGGCTTACAGAGAAAGTCTGCAATTGGTCTAAGATATTTAAGTAGCAGTACTAGGAAATGAGTTTAGACTGGGCTGACTGCTCTTTTCAGTGTATCAGAGAAGAGAAAAAGGAGAGGGGATGTCAGTCGGTGGGGGCCAGGACCAGCAGACTTACTGAGAACAGACCAATACTGTACACACCACACAATCATATATCTATGAGAGGAAGAGGAGGGAGGAGAGGAGAAAGTCCTTTTACCAACCAAATTTCTTAACCTGTCCCTAAGCACAAGGGATATTTGACAGAAACTGAAAAGGTACAGCCCAGAGCAAGGGCCTGGTCTGGGCTAGGGCTTGCAACTCTCTACTCCTTTCTCAACTCACTGCTTCCTCCTATCTCTCAGGGATTAAGTGGCTCTCTGAACTTGGGGTGACAAGCAAGAGATAGGCAGTTACAGTTAATGGAAAACATATCAGATTGTTATAGGTGCTCTGGTGGCATAGTGCTTAAGGCATCTATCTGACTGCTAACCAGAAGGCTAGCAGTTCAAACCCACCAGCCACTCCTTGGAAGGAAGAACGGGCAATCTACTTCTGTAGTGATACTGCCTTGGAAACCCAAGGAGCAGTTGCTATGAGTCAGATGCAACTCGATGGCAGTGAGTTTGCTTTTTTTGTTTAGTAAAATTCTGGGCACTTTGAGGGAATAGCCTGCTAAATATCCAGTCACCTGTGGCTGGAACAGGGGCTTAACGAAAAGCAGCACCTTAGAGCTGGAGAGCCCCCCACAGTTCTGATGGTGTTATTCCCTAAACAGCACCAACAGCATTCAAGGGGCCCACCAAGAAGTACAATGACCTTGTTCTGACTTTCTAGACCAGGCCATAGAGAGTCTACCAGTGACCCAAGAAGGAAGAGGAAGGTTGTTAGCAAGGGCTAAGAGAGCCAGTGGTGTGTAGGTAGTATGGGGTAGGCATGGTGTAGCACATGCAGGAAAAGATTTCTAGAAGTTTCCCGCTCCAGTGCAGTATGCCTCGCAATTTAAAGAATTTATAGAAGCCCTAATTTATCTATAGGGCCAATGAACCTGTTTAGGAACTGGACAGAACAGCCTGGAGTTCAAGGCCGAAGAGGGATGGGGCAGCTTCACCAGGGAAAGACACAAGGATTACAGAAAACAAAATGGTCTGAGGAAAGAGGAAGTACTCACCATTCTACCGTACTGACAGTCCTGGCTGCTTCTCACTGTAAGGAGACAAAGCATAACTGAAGAGTGCCATTGATTCACCATGGGACCAACAAATACCACAGATCTAGCCCTGAGCTTCTCTCCAACTCATATTCTCCTCCTTCTCAGGAATCTAGCCTGTCCACAACTCACCACTTCAGATAGAGGCAACAGAAGCCACAAAGAAAGTAACAAGTGATCCTGCAGGGCATGAAGTCAACCACACAGTTCTACAGCAAGAATGAGTGTTATCCAGGATCATTCAGCAGCATTTGAGTCCTGATTCTCAGACCAGAAGGGGAAGTAAAACAGTCCAAACCCTGTTCTTTGTGGGAGAGCAAAAAATCTGCCAAATCTGAAGAGACAGTAGCTGCACAACCGGCACTCACTTCTGGCCCTGGCTTGAGCATGAATCGACAGTAATGCTCTGCCAGTCTGAGTCCGGGAGTAGGACTACCTGACCCATTTACTGGGGGCAGAGTCCAGAGCAGAGGACAGGAGGGAGGGGACCACAACAAGCTATCAAAGAGTAGCAGGGCTGGACAGGTCCTGCTGAATGTACCTACCACCAAGTCCCACAAATGTAGGAGGCCACACATTTAACCACTGAGGGCAATCCAGGCCTCAGAGTCGCACCTGCTAAATGGGTCCAGGCAACAGAGATTTCCAGCTCCTAGGCCCACTTAGGAAGCCAGGCCCAGATTTCACTGAACTTTCCTTCATGCCTGCTACCCAAGCTCAGGAGCAGTGCAGCAGCGCACCGCAGGAGACTGGGAATAAAAGCCCCCATAGGTAGGTAGCTTTGCCTTCCTCCCTGATCACAGGACCTTCCCCAGCCCACCCTTCCTCGCAAACGGCAAGCCAGAGGTGCTGCCTCACCGCCTTCTGACACGCAGACTCTGGGAGACGGATGGAGATAGGAAGGTACAAGGACCAGGCCTGAGAGGCCCAGGGTTCCCACATCTAAAAGATCTGGCTCTTGGGGGACGGGCCAGAGTGGCAGGGGAGCCCAGGTGCCCTGGTTCTAGGGGCGGAGCCTAAGAACTCAGAGGCGGAGCCCATAATGACAGAGGGCGGGGCTCAGGAAAGCCATCGGGGCCCGGGGCAGGGCTAGACGCGGTCGTAGCGGTTTCCAAGCTGGCAGTGCATGGGGCACAGTGACTCACCCAGGAGGCGTCCGCCCGACCCTCCGAGGCCGCGCTCTCACCACTTCCGTCTCCCGCAGCTGCTGAGGCCGCGCAGCTTCGACCCCACCACGGTGCCCCTTTCCCCAACCAATCGTATATCTGGCCTGTGCGCGCCCTGGCCAATAGCCACATCAAGTCCCGCCCCGCCCCCACCGCGCAGCCGCCGCCCTCACTACTCACACCTCTCATTGGTCAAGTAGGGCAGACGCCTTCCCAGCCTTTAGCTTATCCGGTGCCAGAAGGCTAGACGCTACCTGGAGGGAGGAGGCGCGGTGCTGGAAGGAGACGCGACCAATGGGAAATCACAGCGCGTCCCTACGACAGCCAATGGGAAAGAAGTAGAGGGGGCTACCAGATAGGGCTCCTGGGGCCGGAAGTGAGGAGGCCTGTCGCCTACTGGTATCGCAATTAGAGGTGTGGCCTTGTAGGGGTGCGGGCTTTTCACTGCCACTTCCGGTGACGCTGTTGACTTAGAGGTATTTTTTAAATGGCTCCTTAGTGGCATTTCAGTTTATCCATTCTTGTTTTAGTTTCGCTACGATCATCCGGCCCCAAAGCCAGAAGGGAGAAACGACTGCTCCCGCTAGGCGAGGGAGGAGGGCAGGGCCTGAGGCTCTGTCTGGGTCTTCCCCTCTGGCGGCGCTGAGATTCCCGCTACCCTGCGCCTGGACTGGCTCATCCAACCCTTGGCGGCGAATTGACCCTGGCGTCCTTCATGATCTGCATAATGCCGCCAATCCTGAGTAAAGATCTCTTGCCGGAGAGTTAGGAAACCTGGCCTGAGACTGGCACTAGAAAGCTGCGGCCTCCTCGTCTTTAAAACGAAGAAGGAAAAAGGACTCTCCCAAGGACCTAAACTCGTTGCTCCTCCCTTCGTCTCTCCTTTGGGGAACCAGAGGAGATAGCAGGGTAGAGGGTGGCCGCTGGAGGTCGCCGTGGCCTCGCTCTATCACTAACGCGACAGAAGTGGAAAAGTTGACTCAGGTTGCCAGTGGAGTTTTACATCGTGAAATGAATATAGTCTCAGCTCTGGGGTGAGCTGGAGGGCTCTCATATAAGGCTCCTGGGCTAAAGTGTGCTCATTTATCTGTTTATAGAGCATTGAAACTCCCTACAGTTAAATTCCGCGAAAACAGGAAACTTGCTTGTGTTCACTGCTTTAACTCCAGGGTCTAGAGCAATATCTGCAACCAAGTAGATGTTTAATAAGTATTTGTTAAATCCTGAACTCCTCCAGGACAATGATTGTACTTTACCATCCCCAGCGCTTACTGAAGTATTTGGTGATTACAAGGGTTCCAGGCTTTGTTGAATGCTCTATCCAAGACTTAATTCTGCACATCCCTTTCCCCGGGTCAGAAGAAATAAGAAGTCTGGAGGCTGCATGCAGTTGTTTTCCCAATGGCAGGCATTAGATCCAAAAACTACAGAATTTAAGTTACTGTATTTGGAAAAGATAGGGAGAGGCTCAGGCTAGAGGAAGCATGTTTTTTTAGTTACCTTGGAGTCTATTTCAGTTCATGACAACCCACATGTTAAGGAGCAGAACTGTGATCCGTAGGGTTTTCAAAGCTGTGACCTTTCAGAAGTAGATCTCCAGGTGTGTCTTCCAGGTGCATGTAGGTGGGTTTGAACTGACAACCTTTAGGCTAGTAGTTGAGTGCTTTACTGTTAGCACCCCCCAGGGCCTCACCAGAGGAAGGACAGGTAATCATTAAGATGAAGGCAATAAGACAACAAGGATTTTAAGGATAGGGAAAGCTTTTCCCCATTGTCTCTTCCTTAATATCCAGAAACCAGCACCTTCCTCCAGCAGGCTTTCAAAACTGAGTCCTGAGATCTTTCTGTCTTCCAGGAACTGATAAAGATACAGACAGGGACACCAGAAGCAACCTATAGATTTGTTAAACTTTATTTCTTCTGAGCTGTGGGGAGGCAGCAGGGATGTAAGGCGAGGTGGCAGTGGCTGAAGGGGCCTGAGCAGAGCTGGGGCTGGAAGGGTCCGGCATGGGCAGGAGGAGGAGGACATTGAAACAGCCAGGGCTGAAAGCCAGCTAATGGGTCTCCTTCATCTGTCTTTGGATTTTATGCAGCATCTCCTGCATCCGCCGCAGCTGGAACAGGCACATGCATCAAAGTGAAGCCTTTTAGGGAGTTCCATAGTGTTGGAGCGTGCCCTTAAACTCTAATCTTTTTAGATGTGATGGAGACTACGGGAAGAACTGTCCACCAACCCAGGACCCAAATACACAGGGCCTGGGCCAGGGATCTTTTTGTTCCCAAACCAGGTGAGGTGAGGTTTATGATCAAGCAGGGGACCTCCCAGACTGTCAACCCCTAACACCTCATCCTGCTCTCACCTCCTCATCTTTCTCTCTTATCAGCTTCTCAGTTTCTGGATCTGTGCCTTGTGGGCCAGCAGGAATAGGCAAGTCAGTACCACTCTCTCGAGTCAGTTTGCTGAGGGGAAGGGGAAAGCAGGTTGGTAAGGCTAGGGGGACCACAGCACCTGCATGGATTGAGCTCAGGGCCTGTAGAAGAACAAGGGAAGGGCTTGGTCTCACCCAAGACAGTGCTTGGGATCCCCCCCACCAGCTTTCTCCTGGCTTCCGGTCATACTTGCAATTCCGTTCCTTCATCATGCGGGTCATGCTCTGGATGCACTGTGCCCGATAGTTCTCGTAGTGTGTCTCCCGTGTCACATCCTTCAGGTCCTGCATGTGGGTACGCACCAGCATTGTCCTCAGCTTCACAAAGTCGCAGTGCCCTGGGTTTTCCACTGCATAGCAAGGCTAGGGGTCAGCCAGGGGCAAGGGTAGGAGACAGCCAGTGAGAGAACGATGAAACCCAGTCACAAACTCAGTGCTTTACCTTCCACGATGCCCCAGGGGTAGAGCCGGCCCCGAACTCGCCTCCCTCTGGCTTCTACCACAGTATTACTGCCAATCACAGCAAATGGGATGCTTTCCTAGAAGAAATTAGAGATGCCTGTCAGCACCTCCATTCTCATCTGTTCCTTTCCACCTATATCTTCATCTCTGCTTCACTCTAGGAACCATGGTCTTCTACCCCAATGTTGTTGTTGTTGTTTGCCGTCGAGTCGGCCCCGACTCATAGCGACCCCTCCTTGGGTTTCCGAGGCAGTATCACTACGGAAGTAGGATTGCCCAACCTTCCTTCCGAGGAGTGGCTGGTGGGTTTGAACCGCCAGCCATCTGGTTAGCAGGCAAGTGCCTTAGGCACTATGCTACCAGAGCTCCTTCTACCCCAATAGCCTGCCCTTATATAGAATTCCACACATCCTCTCCTGCCCAGAAAGAAAAAAAAAAAATTAAGATGGGAAAGGGATGCCCTGGGGTGGCCCCACCTTTAGGGCTTGGTCTTGTAATTTGAAGTCTTCATCCTCATCAGAATCACAGTCTGGGAACTGGTAGATCTTGATTCCAAAGTACTCAATCTGCTCCCGGATCTACCAAACAAATGAGGGGTCCACAGTTCTGGGGACCCCATCCTTTCTACAAGCCCACCTACTCCCCACCCCATTGTCTTCCCTCACTTTGCGTTTCTTGCACTCCACTTCAGGAGGTGTCAGTGTGTCCGCCTTAGCCAAGATTGGCACGATGTTGACCCGCTGATGCAGGGCCTTCATGAATTCAACATCCAGTGGCCGGAGCCTGGGGAACAGGAATCTGTGACCACCTGCTGGTGGCAGCCCTGCCCCTGGTGCTCTTGGCCTGTTCCCTTGGTAGCACCCGGTGGTGCCAGGAGCCTCAGGCTCACACCATACCCGTGGCCGAAGGGTGAGATGAAGTACAGGCAGCAGTGCACTCTGTTGTCTTGGATGTTCTTGCGGTTCAGGCCACTCTCATCTCGGAAATACTGTTCAAACTGCTGGTCGATATATTCTGCCACAGGCCTCCAGCTGGGGCAGAGACAGACAAACAAAGAAACAGTGCGGAGTGGAGGCTGCCTTAGGAGTTCTGAGACGTAGAGAAGTAGCCCATGCCCCGAGCAGTGCTTCCAAGACACTATTACTCCCTAGTAGCTCACTTGTACTACATCTTCAGGGAGATACTTGAGTGGAACAGGGGTGCAACTCATGTGCCGTGACAGAAAATTAGACTACGCACACAAGAAGAGTCTAATAAATACTAATTTTGTGAGAGGAAAAAGGTTCAGGTGAACAAATAAAGCAAGAAGAGTAGCAAGGTGGCTGCAAGCAAACACCAATTGGAAGGCGTGGGAGCCCTAAGTCAGGTTCACAATCTAGCCTCTGAGCCTTTGCTCACATGGCTTCACATTCTTCCCTTTCAACTCTCCAAACTTACTCTATCCTTCAAGGCCATACCCAAGAACCATGGCTTCCAGGAAGGCTTCTTGGACTATACCAGTGCATACTGATCTCCCACTTCTCTTCATTGCACAATGATGGATCTATTGATATTTATAGTTAATTATAATTCAAGTCCTTTGCTCTTCTGTTACCTAGTTTAATCCTCACTGCCCTGATAGGTAGACAATCTGAGCAACATCTCTATGATTTTTTTACATCAAGAAACTCAGTCCATGTGGGGAACTGTAGTCAATGTCGTGAAACAAAATGTGTATGAACTGCTATATGAAAAATGGATTTGCTCTGTTAACTTTCACCCAAACCACAATAAATAAAAAAAAAAAAAGAAAAGAAACTAAGTCCAGAGCAGCTAAGAGACTTGCTCTAGATCACTTGGCTGGAGCAATCCTAGCTCAGTATGGTTGCCACTATACTGCCTGACCCTTAAGTTGTTATATGATTGACTTATATGTTAGAGAATGTGCCATCCTGTCTGTTCCCCACTACTAGACTGTTAGCTTCTCAGGAACAGTGATCACTCAGACTTGCTCTGCATTCCTTATAACGTCCAGCACAGGGCTGGATACCTAGTATGTGCACAATAAATTCCTATGGGTTGACTAAGTGGAGGTACACTACATACCATAAGGTGCCAGGCAAAGAAACCAATATTATTATGGAAGGTAAGAGGAGTCGGGTAGATTAATGGAAGGGGACAGTGGTACTTGCTACAGTAGAGACCAGGTACTGGTTGGGGCTAGAGTTTCAGGGCAAGCCCAGTTTGCTAGGACATACTCCCTGGCATCCTCTTTAGAACAGGGATGGTGATGATGACATGGGATCCCCTCAGTCTATCAGGAGGACTTAGGGAAACCATGCACTATGTACACCATGTACTAGCACCATAGTGTGGCAAGAATGTAAGAAATGGCCCTTCCCTCAAGGCTATGTAGTTGAAGATGAACCAGTTTGCTGAGCTGAAGTCATGTATTATAATGATAAAGCATGCAATGAGGGGGTTCAGAGCACAGAATGGTCTGTAAGGGTTGATTAGTCATTGAAGTAATAAGCTCGGGCCAGCTGTATGGGTGTGTGGCCTTTGTAATCACACAGGCCCCACACATAGAAGGGCTCATGCTTGGTTAAATGTTCTGCTGTTCTAAAAAAAAAAAAAGACTAAACCCACTGACTCATCACAAGTTGATTCTGACTTATCACAAACCTATAAGATAAAGAAAAACTGTCCCATAGGGTTTCCAAGGCTGTAAATCTTTATGGAAGCAGACAGCCTCATCTTTCTCCCATAGAGTGGCTGGTAGATTTGAACTGACAACCTTTCGATTAGCAGCCAAATGTTTTAACCACTATGCCACCAGAGCTCCTTGCTCTGCTGTTTACCATCTTGGAATTTTTAATGCTTTTTGAACAAGGGGTTCCACAAATTCATTTTGCACTGGACCCCACATGTTACATAGTCCTGCAATTATCACCATCAAAGTTCTTGAATGTAATGAATGGTTTTCAATACACATTCACTTGCATTATTCTGAGTGATTTTCAGATCAACTGGGCAAGGTGGTAAAAGCAGTTATTTTGCTACTGAACAAATTATACAGTCAGTCCTGCAAGTATCACCATCAAATTTCATGAATGTCATGTAAAGAGCCCCTTACAGTTTTTAATGCACATTCCCATGTCTTATTCTGAGTGATCTTCAGATCAACTGTACCAGGTGGTAAGGGCTGGTATTTTGCTACTGAAGAAATAGGAACACAGTCATTTGCTTAAGAACATGCAGTTACTAAACAACGAGTCAAAAATTGAACTCTCAGTCCTCTTAGCATCACCCTGCCTAATTTCTTCATCAAAACCCCCTGTCTTTCTCACCCATTCTCCTCCTCCTCTACTCACTTAGGTCTTACTGTTACCAAAGCATCCTTTCAGTTCCTAAAAAAAAGCCAGGAGTGATCAGCATGTGTGGCAAATCTACCTTTTCTTTTGGCAGATGGCCTGAAGGGTGCCTGGAATGTAAACAAGGTTTCACCCATTTCTGCCCCTTTGCTTCTCTTTTCTTCCTTTTATGCCTCCCTCTGTGCACTCTCACCCCTTCAATAAGACTTGTGTGTGGCACCTAAAATGTTGCTACTGAAAGGAAGTGGAGGAGGGAGAGTGGCATTTATTAAGCACCTACAATGTGCCAGGTACTACTCTGAGTTATAATTTACTCAATAGCAATGTTTTTTGTTTTGTTTTTTTCCTGACATATACATATAGCAATGGTTGTTTTGTTTGATTTTTAATGTGTCAGGTCCTGTGCTACATGTTTTCACATGTGTTTGCTTATTTAAGGCTCTTCTTTCTCATCTTGCCTCCACTTCCATTTACAGCATTAAAGACTTATATAGGGCAGAGGTGGAAGGAACATCAGAGGTCAGCTATTCCAATCCTTTCCCTCTTAATTTACAGAGGAAGAGGCTACATATGGTCCAGAAAGGGGGCATGACATACTCAAAGTCACAAATCTCTTCCCCTGACAAGTATGGATATGTGTATGCCTATATGAGCATCTATGTATGTACTGGGAGGTCCAGCTGGGGTTGCTTGGTCAGACATACCACTCTGTGTTGTTGACTGCATCCCCAAAACCTGGTGTGTCCACAATGGTGAGCCGCAGCCTCACTCCCTTCTCTTCTATGTCCACCGCATGCTTGGTGATCTCCACAGTTTGCATGATCCTCTCTGGAGAAGGGGGAAACTGAGGCCAGGGCAGGGGCAGGGACCTGCCCAGTCAGGACAAAATGCCCACCCCAGCAAGCTTTGCCCAGACTGCCTCGTCTACACAGCCCCCCTTCCCACCCGCTGTTCTCTGGGAACGAGCAAGGAACACATTTCCCAACACAGGAAATGCCGGTGGCTGTTGGCTCAGCCCCAACGTCTTCTCTGCTCCCGCCTTTTTTCTTGGATTCCTGGAATCCTTTGGGGGTCAGAGACTCACTCCAAGAGCAGGATTCTGGTGCCTGCTCCACGTCAGCACCCAAATCTGTAGGGAGCTAGCTGGTGGGCTGCCAGGTTGGATGGGCCTATGGAGAGATGCCTTCCATCTTTCTAGGAAGGCATGGTTTCCTGGCATGCTGGGAGGGCTCCTTCCTCAGGCTCTGGAGTGAGTTTGCTCTCGTTAGACAGGTCTGCCTCATGCTCCTCTCCTTTCCTTACCTTCAGCGCTGAGGAGTTTCCGGTCCCGGTACAGATCAGTGAGGAAGAGGCTATTGACAAGGGTAGATTTACCCAGGCCAGATTCTCCTGACAGGGGACAGAGGAGAGAGGCATCAAATCAGAAGGTAAGATCTGTGGCCAAGAAGCTCCTCTCCCTCACCCTCCATCCCTGCCCCGCCCCAGACCAAGGTGTGGGAAAAGCTGCTTTCTTATCTAACTGGGAAGGGACTAACCAAATGATAGCATTTTAAAGCTGGCAAGAAGCAACAAGATCAGCTTGCCTAGCCTTCAGTGAGAATTAAATGAGGCCCAGACATTACAAACAACAAATATGAACCCCTTTGTAAATACAATACTGAGTTGTTAATGAAAGCAAATATGGGTATAGGGACGGATAGATGGGTGAACAAGCTAAACAATTATGTATGTCTAAATGGAGAGTGTATCCAAGATCATATACAGGGTTGGCAGAAAATGGGCCTCTCGAAGAGTATGAAGGGATGGACACTGGGAGGAGGTAACTATGGGGAGGAAGTGGGAGGGGAGCTGCTGCATTGTAAATTTTGGTCAATGACATGAGACAAAGTATATGTGAACTGCTGTATGAAAAGTGAATTTACTCTGTAAATCTTCACCCAAATCCTAATAAAAAAAAAAAAAAAGAAAAAAAAAAAAAAAAAAAAAAAGTAAATGAGGCCCAGAGAGGGCAAGAGATTGCCCAAGATCTCACAACAAGAGGCAAATACTAGAAAATTCTTGGTCAAGTGATCTTTTCACCACTTCACCTCTCTATACACACTTTGAGCCACCAGGGGCTCCTGCCTATTATATAAAAAGGCACAGGCACAGCCACTAGCTGCTTGCTCCTCCTACATCCCCCCCACCCCAACACCCACACCATCCCCACTTAAAACTCCACTGCCCAGCCCCGCCTTGCCCCTGCTCTACCTGCCACCATGAGGGTAAAATCAAAGCCTTTCTTCACAGACTTTCGGTGGACTTGGTTGGGGAGGGTCGCAAAGCCCACATATTCCTTGTCATCCTAGTGGACAGGAAGACAGACTTCATCAGGGGGACAGGCAGGAGGGACCCCAGGACCCAGCACCAGACTTCTCCCTTCTACGTCTTTGCCCTAGTCCTATAGGAGCAGTGCCAGACTCTTTTGAGGCCCTATGTGGGGCCACCAGCTGAGCCTCTTGCTCCTAAAGATACTGTCCATTCCTCATGCCCTTGGGGACAGACACCAGGGAGATGAGGCTGACACAGGCCAGAGCAAGGTCCCAGCTCACCCACACGCATGTGTGCACTCTTCCTCTCTGTCTGTCTGTCTGTCTGTCTCTCTCACACACACACACACCCCCAGTGCTCCCTCCCTGGGTCTTCCTGTACCAGCCCACAGAAAGGTGAAAGCAGGGGTGGAAGCTCTACCTCAGAGGAGTCATAGGGATCAAGCTTGCCCCATGGGCTTCGAGGCCGGGATGAGGGGCTAAGGGGAGCTGGGGCAGAGAAGTACTGGTGGCTCTCAGAAGGCTGGGACCACGAGGGGGGTCTGAACTCCAGGTCATCATCGCAGAGGTCTGGGGCCTGGGGTCTTGGCTCCGGGATTTGGGGCCTGGACACCCGGGTCTTGGCCTCCAGTGGGTGGCAGCTCTCGATCCCTGGGAAATCCTTCACGAATTTGCTCAGTTCTGTGTCATCCTTTTCCTCCATGAAGTGCTTGATCTGAAGGTTTGGGGGGATGGGCAGTAGGTGGGAGGTGGCAGGAAGGGAAGAAGAAAGGAAGAAGACAGGAGAAGGAGACAGGGAGAGAGAGGAATGCGCCCCTGGTTAGAAGGGAAAGAGACTGCAGGAACAGCCAAGCCAGAGAAAGTCTTCCTATCCCGCCCTCACCTGCTCATGGGCCACAGGGTGTGAGAAAGGACCGTGTGGTCCAGGAGGAGCCCTGGGCAGTCCCCAGAGCCATGGTGACTGCTCTTGGGAACTATGTAGCTCACGTCCTGGTGCTCCCTCTCAGCAGGGTGATCACTAAGGCCGCCCCTCCTGGGGAACTGGCTGAGCCAGGGGTCAGAGACTGCCCCTGAGGCCAGGAAGTCAGTCTGAACAAGGGGAAGCAGACAGAGAGGCTTTAGAGCCAGAAGAGAGCAGAGAGTCAGAAGTGGGCATGGGCAGCAGGGAAGAAGAGGAGGGCGGAAGAAGTGGGCAGCCCCAGGTAACTCAAGAGCCAGCCGGGAGTTCTAAACCTCTTTTCTCTGTGAGTCTGTGAGCTATAGGCCTAAAGGGTAGATTCTCCTAGGGGGTACTCAGCCCACAGGGCTCACTACCCAGAGCTCAGCACTGCTGACCCTGCCTCCTCATTCCAGACATTGAGACACACCAGAGCTTGACCCTGTGCCCCAGAAGATAAAGGTAAACTTGCCAGGGGGTGCTGAATGTGGGTGGAGGACAGCCAGAGGGCCCAGGGGAGGGAGGATGGGACTGTACTTGTTATGGAATCACTCAGGGAGGGCTGAAGGATGGCTGGGCTCCAGAGCTGCTGATCGCCTCCAGCTATGAGGGATCCTTCAGTTACCCCCTTGCCCCTCTTATCCAGAGCCAGGCTCTAGCCAGCAGTGCAGGAGGGTCTGGCTTGAACTGGGAGCCACGGCGGTTGGTAGACAGAGAATGATCTGGCTCCTCTGCAGAGGCCTGCTCCACCGCCTCCCCAGCTTGGGAGAGGAGTCATCTTCCCACCTCCTGCCTCAGTTCTCTGCCCTAAAGTTTCCCTCTCCTTTCAGGCCAGACCCCTTTGTAGGGTGCCTGGCGGTGCTGGGCTCAGCTCTGCCTCACAATACCCATGTGCCACAACCAGACAATGGACAAAGGCTGGCTGTAGAGATTGACTCACTCTCTGGGGGCTGGCCAAGGCAGTAGGGGCTACCCTGGACCACTGTGGAGTCCCAGCCACACTAGGGGGTAGATAAGATAGTTACGGTCTTCCCACTTGTCCTCATTTTACAATGGGAAAAATTAAGGAGGCAGACTTGTACGCTGTCAGAGATAGAGATGGAGAGGCTAGAGAGAAAAGTCCCCTAAGAACTACTTCCAGGCTGTCACCTCTTAAGTCCCCAAACCTGCTTGTAGCCTTAGTCTCCAGAGCTGGACCCAAAGCCCCACCATCAAGTTGATTCTGACTCATAGTGACCCCCACTGGGTTTCTAAGGCTGTAAATGGAAATAGATTGCCTCATCTTCCTCCCGTTGGAGCAGTTGCTGGGGTTGAACCGCTGACCTTCTGGTTAGCAGCCAAAATGCCTTATACACTTACCACCAGAGCTCCTCCAGGGCTGGACAGAGGACAGGAGAAAAGGACCCTTTAGCCAGAAACTAGAACCAGTATGTGGGGGCTTATTGACAAGAAGAGGCAAGCCTGACCCAAGAGGCTTTTCTCATCCATAGTATTTGTGGGGCCTAGTGGGGTGACCATACATCCCAGTTTATGCTTATTGTCCTGGCAAGATGACTATGTCCCCTTTCGCTATCATAAGTGTTCCAGCTATTAATTATATGGCAAGAGAGAAGGGATGGGCCTGGGGGAACAGCAGGTCTTGTTGGCCGGCAGCTTAAGAGTCTGGGGAATTCCAGAAAGTCCTACCCCTCTGCACAGCTCCGTAGTGAGCCAGCAGTTGGTCCTGGGTCAAGCTAAGGATGGGAGAGTGAGGACTGTGCTCAGCTTTCCTCAGGAACATTCTGGGGAGAAGAAGAAACCAGAACAGGGAGAAGGGTAGGTGCTGATGAAGATCCTCTGGCCCTCACAATCTTCCAGCAGAGCCACCAGGAACCCAGCAGCATCCAATCTGCCAGCCCTGGCTTCTCATCAGCATGGAGTAGAACACAGGGGCACCGCTTGCTCTGACAGTAGCCAAATCATTTTCTGACTTTGAGCCTCAATCCCAGCCACTGCAAGGGGAAGACAGGTCTGGTCCACCCATCTCCCAGAGTAGCACCTTATCCCAGCTTCAGTCCTGTCCTCAGGGACAGAATTCCCTTGCCCTCCCTGCGAATGGTCCATGCCCCACACTTCAAGCTCCCTGTCAGCAAGCTCTAGGTCTAATTTTAGCTCCCAGGCAAAGTTCCTCACACACAGAAACAGCCGTGTCTTGACGCTCTTGTTGTAATCTGGCTTCCTGGCTTGCTCCTTTCCCTTTCTCTTTGACCCCCAGTCTCTGGCAAGGGCCAAAAAAGCCTGTGGAATGTCCTTTTCCACCCTCCTCCTCCCCTTCCCTCAGCTCCCACCCTCCAAGGACAGCCCAGCTGCAGCAGGATCACTCGGTTTCTCTGCAGTCCCCTCCTCCTCTGATTGGCTGCCCCATGATGCCTGACTGCTGCCTACCCCTGTGGGCACAGCACCAGCTTCCCAAGTCTGCAGCACAGGCTCTTGATCCACTTGGCCCTTTCTGATAACCCTCAAGGACACAGAGGCCTGTCCCCAAGGTGACCTGGCCCATCAGTGCATGGAGACAGCAAACTATACTCCAAAGGACTTCAATCCCCTGATCTCTTCCACCTTCACTTGAAGCAGTGTTTAAAAAGGGTGGGATGACCTGCAATCCTGAGGCCCCTGGGTATAGGGTCTCTTGGGAACAGCCCCACTTTTCTTCCCAATTATTTCTTTGTGTTCTCCCAGCAACGAATTTCTCCTCCACCCACTGCCTTCAGAAAGCTGCTCCTAGATTTCCCTGCACAGGGGCCCAACCACAGAGGGGTCTTTGCTCTGTGGACTCTTCCTACCCTAGGATACTTAACCTCTATCTCCTGGGGACCTGTATTAATTCCATCACTTCATCTCTTCCATAGAGCCAACTGGGGAGCAGCTAGCAGTTGATCCCTGAAGGGCATGGGTTCAGGCCAATGGGAGACTTATATCTCAGAGGCATCAGAGCTGCAAATTAGGTGGGAGACAAATCAGAGAGGCTTGGCTGGGAGTGTACAGATGGAGCAATGAATGAGAAGTCAAGAGACCAGTGTTTCTGGTTTGGCTGGGAACACCCTTTGTGAGTTTGAATAATACCTTAATTTCAGGGCCTAATGTCCAATTCAGGAGCTCTGGTAGCACAGTGGCTAAAAGCACTTGACTGCTAACCAGAAGGCTGGTGGTTCAAACCCACCAGCCACTCCTCGGAAGGAAGGTTGGGCAATCCTACTTCTGTAGTGATACTGCCTCGGAAACCCAAGGAGGGGTCGCTATGAGTCGGGGCCGACTCGACGGCACATAACAACAACAACAATGTCCAATTCAGAAGGAAGGTTGGGCAATCTACTTCCATAGTGATACTGCCTCGGAAACCCAAGGAGGGGTTGCTATGGGTCGGGTTAGACTCGACGGCACATAACAACAACAAATGTCCAATTGTACAGGATCTCTAGTGGTGTGGTGGTTAAAGCATTCAGCTGTTAACCAGAAGGTTGGCGATTTGAACCCAATGGCCACTCCATGTAAGAAAGATAAGGCAGTCTGCTTCTGTAAAGATTTACAACCTTGGAAACCCTATGGGGCAGTTCTACTCTGTCCTATGGGGTCGCTATGAGTTGGAATTGACTCAATGGCAGTGAGTTTGAGTGATATCCAATTGCAAAGGAACCCTAGTGACACAGTGGTTAAGCACTTGGCTGCTAACCAAAAGATTGGCAGTTCAAACCCATCCACTGCTCTGCAGGAGAGGATGTGGCAGTCTGTTTCCGTAAAGATTTACAGCCTTAGAGACCCTATGGGGCAGTTCTACTCTGTCCTCTAGGGGCACTAGGAGTTGGAATTGACTCCCTGGCAATGGGAATGTCCAATTGTGAATAGCCCTTCCTTGCTTCCCAGGGAAGCCGGGGAGAGGAAGTACTCCCAGATGACAGATACCTCAAGTTGCTTTGAACCTGAGGAGAGAAGGTACATCTCACGTCATAGGTTGGTTATTAATGCTGGTCTGTTATTCTTTACACATGCAAATTAAAACGCTTTGAGGCTCCTGGGCTGGGAAATCCTCCCCTACTGACTTCCAAAGCACTGCCCTCCTTTGACAAGGAGACCCTTTTCTAGAGGAGTCTGGCCCGACATGAACCAATTGGCCTAAGGAATGGACTGACTTGAGGGCAGGGGCTGAGGCTGAGACTAAGGGTGGGGGTGCCCTTATTTAGTGAAGAGCAGGGAGGCCTCAGTAAAGCTGCAAGCACCAAGACCTCAGCTGAACTAAACTTAGTGTGTGGCAGAAAACGCCTCTCTGACCCCTGCTGGGCTTGGCACTGAGGACAATCAGTGCTCCCCCCCAACCCCAGGCTTCTATTCCTGGAACAATCTGTCTGTCCATCCTCATGACGGGGGCAAGGATAAAGACAAGCACCATTGGCCTCTCCCAGGAACCCCCTTTTGGGGAAGGTCCCAGGGTCATCGAGACTTCCTGGCCAAGATCTGGGCCTCTGCCTGGACACAGCTTGAGAGACAAGAGCCCAAAAGATTGGCTTTTCCAGACCTGGAAGTTTCTGATTCCCTGGGGGCCCAGGAACTAGGCACAGATCCCCTCCTGCTGTAAACAGCCTGTGCCTCCCCAACCAGAGGGCAAAAGCTAGGGGGCTTCTTGCAGACTGACAAGAGAGGCCCATATGGGGCCTGGAGGCCCTGACAACCATCACAACGTGTTTTTGACAGGCTCTGGCAATGGCAGGAGCAGAGCTAGTATCCTCACAGGCAGGCATCAAAAC